GTTTTGGGGTTTGGGTGGAAATGGTTTAATTTTATTTTGAGAATGATGACAGATTAATGAATTGTTTAATTGAATTTGGGAATAATAAAATTGTTTACAAAACTATAGTTTTGAACCTCTATAGAATTTCGTCGTTTTAAATAAGTCGTTTATGTCATCATCGTCACGACAAATATTGTTATGTCAGTGTCTTATTAACGAATTACCGACGGATGATATAATTGGAGTTAAACATAAACGATAATATTAAAATTAAAAAAAAAATTAATGACATTTTCGAAAGCCAACCAAATTTGAAGTAGTTTACCCTAAAAAAAGAACAATATGAAAGTTTAATAACTAACATGAAAGATGATGAAGTTTAGTATCCAAAACAGGAATATAGTAAAAGTTAAGTTACGAAAAGCATAGTTTACCCACATTCGAAACGCGAGAGTATTCGATGTAGTGGAGAAAAAAGAGAGGGGGAAAAAAGAAGTCTTACGTGGGACGCAGAACCGAGATCAAACCGCACTTGGACGGCCGCCCACCCATCAACCGCACTTAGCTGTCGCCTTTTGACTCCGGGTCATCAACCGCACCGGAGCCACCGGTATCACGTCGTCCGGACTTCGGCGTCTTTTCTTTACTAATTCTTTTCGCTTTTGTCCGCGCCGACTGAATTCCAGCACCGGGCGGCAGCACTAGCCACTGGAATTCTATATTTTAAACATGCACGTTATGGTTTCCCCTCTTTTCAGCATAATTTATAAACCACGCATGGCTAACACATGCTCCTTACTGCACCTTTTGCCATTTTTTTTATCAATACTTAGGGGTGTGAAAAATACTTGACCCATTTGATTTGACCGTCGACCTGAATATTAAAAATCGAATAATTTTTTCAAAAAAATTAATTATCCGACCGGGTCGGGTACCCGGCACGACATTTCCCATGCTGGGTCCGGGTCACAAAATTGTGTTTTTCAGAGTATCTGATTAGTTTATATATAATATAATAAATTATTTATATTATGGATTATTAGATTTTGTATTTCAAACTTTTAAATTTTATGTTCGGATATTAGAGTATATAATTTAAAGTTTCGAACATTTAAATTTATGTATATTTTTTAAAATTAATAATTTGCCCGATTACTGTGTATCCGCAACATCCAGATCAAGACACGAGTCGAAAAATTACCGACCCGAATGTTCTGCGTATATCTATTTATGAGAACGTTAGGCATTTAGAACGAGCTATCCCGGCGTAGATTGCTATTCTACATTTAACGCCGAATATGGTAATATGCTCAACTCCCTTTCTTGCCCAACAAGGATAGATAGTATAAAAGTAAAATCTTTTTTTACAAATACAATTTGAAAACGTCCTCCGGGTTTGCTTGCTACTTTTGTATTGCTAGTGCAATAAGTATTTGCATTTAACAATTATATATATTTGAATATATATTGTCTTGAGGATCCGAATTTGAGCATCAAAGGTATGAGCGTTTAATGTTAAAAGGTTGTAAAAGGCGGTATCTGTTCAAAGATAACTCTAAACCATTTGACGTTGAACATTCGCACTCTTGACATTTATGGCGCTCAAACCCGAGACTTCAAGGAACAACAACAAATATTTCACCATTGAGGTAAAGTTACTAGGGATGGCAAACCGCGAGCGGGTGCGGTTATCCCTTCCCTCGTCTTTATATCCACTTAATATTTTTATATTCACCACCTACCTGTTATTTATTATGGGTAAAAATTCTAAATCCATATCCGCCCACGCGAATACATTCTTAAATCTACCCCTACACCCACTACTCAATTAGATATCTACCACCCATCTCATACTCATCTGTACCCGTTCATACCCAACAATTTGAGAATGGATAAACAACGGTGTTCAATTCAAAAAATATTTATACTCTAACATGTGGTTAAATTACAAGTTATGTCTTATAAAATCTTAAAATTTATAAAATAGTCTCTACAATTAAATCTAAATTCATAATGGTACAAAAATTATATGGTGAGTAGTTAGTGTGCAAGCGGATGAAATGCGGGTAAGGTCTCATACCCATCACTTACCTACTACCACGACAGGTATGGCATTTTACATCCACACCCGTCCACTGCTCAATAAACTTACACATCCCGCCCCAATTGGAATGGATACGGTGTAAAACCCACAAAATTGTTCATTCTGCCATCCCTAAATGTTATATTTCATTGATTTATTCGAAATATAATTTATTAAATTATACTCATTATATAATTTATTTTTTAAAATAGAATTAGTGGATAATGTCTACTTTGTTTAATTTTATACGAAAAATCGACGAATATTATTATTCTCTTTATACTGTCTTAAAGTATCATTATTATAATAATTAACTCTTTTACGAGTTAAACTATCAATTTTAATATTTAATATCAGTTTGTATTTAATATCAAATCTATTTAAAATATATAATCAAATTATAAATATATGTGAATATTTAAGAGAGTTATTTTTTTATTAGTATGAAGTGATTATAAGATAACATATGCTCAAAAAACTTAATTATTCGACAATGAATGTTCAAACATCCTTATAGACAATGTATTTTAACCCGAAACCTTTAAGGATGAAAATTTTCCACTTAATCAATGAGTCCGCTCGATTCATGCAAAAGTTATTCCTTTAAACGAATCAAATTTAAACTACTCATATGGTAGCCACGTATATGTTTATAATTTCACCATATATATATATATATATATATATTTCTAGTAATCTAAAATTAGTGTTTGTTTAGGATCTTTCTTAAACTAATATAATGACCCGATTAACTTTGTTAGGGATGTTTTGAGCGCTCAATTAAAACATTTTGAAGTATGGATATCAATTTCAAATCTTTACAATAATACGAGGGTTCAAGTAGGAATTAACCCTTATAAAAATTAAAAGGAACTGCGAGGAAACGGGGAAGAAAGTGACAAAAAATGAGACAAACAAATATATTGGACACGTGTCAGTAGTGAAGTAAAGGACGGATATTTAAACGGAGAGTCTTTGAATCTTCATGCATTTCATTACATTTGCATGTGATTTTTTTTGGCAAAAGTGTCCAAATAATGCTGCTGGGAATGTTTAATTCTCAAAATAAGGATGTCAGTCGATTATTTTTTTAAATGGGGTGAATGCTACAGGGTTGAATGTATTGCTTTGGATCTCTCGGCGTCTTTAGGGGTGTTGGATTCGTTCAAGGATCTCTCGGCGTCTTCAACACAAATATTTCCATGCAGGTGGATATCTCGGCTTCTTCTATGCAGGGAATGCTCGGCGTCTTTAAGCATGAGAATACATAATGATAGGCGGTCTTCCATGCAGGGAATGCTCAGGGGAATGCTCGGCAACAGTAGCTGCTCACCCCTGGCACATGCAACAGATATCATATCTCATTTCAACATTCAAAATGCAGCAGCCAAATACCTCCTCCCAAAGCTAAGCCTTTGTCATCTGACATACCAATTCTACAAATTATGCAACGAGGACCCTCAGTGGAGCAACTCCAAGCTCGACACCCCTCTCTATTCTTTCCGACAGAAGAACAGAAACCAGACAACCACCATTTCTCTCCATTGCTTCACCATTCAAACCAACTTTTATCAAGACCCAACCACCTAAAAGCTTGCATGGGGGTCTACTGCTACTGTCATCGGTTCTCCCTACTAGTTTCGTCGAAGCTTTATCGTACGAGGAAGCCTTGCAGCAGACTACGAGATCCCCTTCCTCATTGGAAATAGATCTAAGTTGGATCCTTGATTCTGTCCTCGGTTTTGCAACTGAGAATCCCACGGTTGTGGCTGGTGGAGCTGTTGTTTTGGTAGTTCCATTGATTTTGTCTCAGCTGTTAAAGAATCCAAAGCCATGGGGAGTTGAGTCCGCAAAGAATGTTGCACATGCAACAGCATCACATGCAACAACAACTTTCTCTTCTCACCCCCGTGATTTCCCACGTCCAGACCCACATGCAGAGCTCCCACATGCAACAGCAACAACACCTCAGGAAGCAGCACTGTCGTAGCTCGCAAATGCAGCAAGGGCAGTTTCGTAGCAAAGTTGAAGACGCCGAGAGATCCTTGAACGAATCCAACACCCCTAAAGACGCCGAGAGATCCAAAGTAATGCATGTAACCCTGTAGCATTCACCCCATTTGAGGAAATAATCGACTGACATCCTTATTTTGGGAATTAAACATTCCCAACATCATTATTTGGGCATTTTTGCCGATTATTTTTATTATAATAATTATTATTAATAAAATTTTATATTTTGATTATTGAAGCGTTAAAGTATCGAATATGACTTTAACAAGATGACACGTGGACGTATCGCTTCAGTTGTCGTTAATAGTTTAAGGATTTAATTATCACAATGATTTTTTTTTTTAATTTTAGTGACTAAAATAAAAGTGAACTAATTATTTTGTGACTATTAGAATGATTTACCCTTGTGTTAAGTAAGGGTGCGCCGCGTCAACTCAACCCTACTCTTCGGCCCTTCTTGCGTCCAATCCATATTCCACTTATCCCATTTCCTATATATATACCCCTTCTTCTCCCTTTTGTATCTCCATTTGTTTTTACCTTGCACCTTCTCTTTCTTTTTTAGGTTGCTGCAGCTTCTTCTTCAAGATAGAGATTGCTTCAACTTCTATTTTTCTTTCTGGGTTTGTTGCTTGCTTTCACTTTTCCAGCTACAGGTGAGTTTTTTCTTTCATCTCTTGTTGTTAAAGTTGTGTGCTTTTTCACTGTTGGAGATCTAGTAATATTTTGTTTCCATGTTTAGATCTGCTTGCAATTTGATATTGTTTGCTGATTGTTATTTCCGTGATGGGCTCTGTTCTTTTTATTTCTTTGATCTTTAGCTGGTGGAGTCGTTTGAGTGAAGAATTTTGATCCAAAAAGCTAGTAGTAGCAACTAGCAATTAGCTAGCAAGAGACGAGAGTTGACCCATTTTTTTATCTTATGTTGGGCTCTGCAGAAGAACGTTTGGTGCGGATTCTTCATCTTGAAAAAAAAAGACTTTCAATCGAGGTGTACGGCAAAACCATGGCTTCTGCACCTGCAAATGTTATTTATATGTCTACTATTCTGGGCCGTGACGGTCCTATTCCTGTTCACAATTGCGATTGGAAATGTCAAAATGAGCATGTTTGTGGCAACATGTATCGATGCAAACTAACAGGGATCACACACATCTGTGACAAGAACTGTAACCAGAGAATTTTGTATGATAACCATAGTTCCCTTTGCCGGGCGAGCCGCCAGGTCTTTCCCCTCACTCAAGCCGAGGAACAGGCGGTCAGAGGCGTCCGGAGGAAGCTCAATGCGGACAATTCCCCGCCCTCCGATAGCTGCTGTTTTAAGCGCAGACGTGATGTGCAGTTCCATCCGTCTCCTTTCGAGAGATCTTTCTCTGCTGTGAGTCCAATCTGCAGCCAAGTTGGAGACGGGATGGATACAAGCTAGATTAGATTAGCGTTTACATTACATATCTAGTATCCTATTATTAACCTTAAAGACTCCTATATTTTGTTTCCCTTTAAGTGTTCCATTGAAACTTATTCGGATGGATAAATGGATAATTGACTTTGATGTTGGTGAACGTACCGGCCTATAGGGAAAAAGAACACTTTTATTTGTTATTTTGCCTAATGCTATTTAGTTCCTCCTAGCTTCGGTGTGAAACTCGAGTTTAATTTAGTTTCTTTCTAACTCTTCTTATACTCAGGTTTACCCATTTTGGCAGATACAGGGTGCTTCTAGGTTCTTAATAGGAATTGAATCGTTATAATATTCATACATGTGCGTTTGTGGATGTATGGCTATTTGTTATGCGTTCTATATTTTCATGGTTTTTATATACATTTTGATGTGCTTTTTATAACTTGTTGCCTTGTTGGTTTACTAGTTGAATGCAGGTTGAAGAGAAATGACATGGCTATTTGTCATTTGTTCTGTATTTTCTAGTTTATTTTACTCTCGTTTTGTACTTGTTGATTTCTTCTATAAGATCCTGAAGTATGTGTTGATTTTGCAGGGGTCGAAAGTGCAATTTCGGGAAGTTTAAATATGCTTTTGCAATCTTGAATGTATCTTCTTTTCCATTTCTAGGTTTCTTGAATTGAAATGTCTGACTTCCTTATTTTCAATCATTCTTATGCAGGTGAAAAATTCCATTCCTTGTGTTGGATAGCGAAACCAGATGTAAAAGTGCCGTGTTATGCCTGCATCATGCCGTGGACTTCCCGTAGATTGGAAGGCCGCCCAGCCAGTGGCAAGGTAGAATTATATCTATCATGTAAAGGTATACCATTTGAGTTCATCTCGTGGAAACTGCTATGTGTCGACTTGTATCAGTTGCCATGTTTTTGCAGCTTCTGTGTGGGGAGTAAACCGATGTGTCTGCCTGGCTGATTGCAGACATGAGTTCATGATGTCGTTTTTCTGAATATATTTTCGAGGTCTGAACATGGTTTACCAACTGCAAATGGAGTTAAAGGCAAGTTGATTATTGATTCTCTTGCTTGATTTTAAGTCGAGAATGAACTAGCACATCTTTCCAATTCTACTGGATCAGTTGCTTGAAACCTTTGGTCTCTACTTTGGAACCAGCCAAGAACCCGAGGCTGCCATTCATGAGCCTGTGAGCATCGGGTTTTGCTTATCGGAAGGCTGCTTGTTCGTCTCGGCAAATTAAATTGTTACGGCTAACCAAATTGCCGGTGAAGTGGTTCGGTTTCAGCTGAACCGAGACATTCAAGTGGCTCGGAAGTCCTACACTGATGTTTGTTCCATCGTTTGCTCATCAAATATCGATGTAACTGGGAACTGCAGCCCTATGGATTGCTTCTTAAATATTGGCTTTCTTTATATAATTTGTACTAATATTTTTTCTATATTTAGTTTAATTGAGTTATGTGATGTCAGGCTGAACTTTATTTTGAGTAATTTGATATTAACTTTAACCAAACACTTACCAAAACTAGGGTTAATTCTTCACATTCTTTTTCGTCTTTCTTCGGTAGGTGACGACACCAATTTTAACGTTTGTTATTGATCACTTGCATTTTTTATTCTTTTTCTATATCAAATCTTTGTTCTGTTTTGTTTTAATAATTCTATGTTTATGGTATGTTTTTCTTTTTTATCAATCATGAGTAGTTCTTTTCCTTGTATGATATTCTTCACAAAAAACGACCTTCCCTGTTGTCAAGGAGGTTCAAGATGGCGAGGGTCTGCTGCAGCTAGGCTGAGGATGGATGGGGGAGCATCTTTCACCCAAAACAGGTCAGTAGATTCCCTCAAACCTTTGCTTGCTAAAGCGTGAGCTACCTGATTTGCATGTCTGGGAATAAAATGGAAATGGCACTCCCTAAACTCCTCATTCTTTTCTTTTATGTAGATTACGAGGGATCTGATATCTGAGAGATTAGATTCGGTGGATTGAACTCTTCGAACGATGGTTCGAGCATCCCCTTCTATGATAAAACAAGAAAAGCCCATATCTTGAGCAAATTGGAGCCCATGCGGGAAAGCAATTGCCTCGGCAGCAAAAATTGATTGAACCGAGTAAGTGATTCTGCAACTTGTACCCAACACCTGTCCATTATGATCCTTAATTACACAGTCTAAACTGACTTTCTTGGAATTTTGAAGGTAACCTGCATCCACGTTGAGCTTGACTAAAGGATCAAGAGGGAGGCAGGCTCCACTGAACCGCTTCAAAAGGAATATGATGATTAGAACATTTAAAAGTTTGAGGACTAATTAGAGAGAGAGTCATGGTTTGAGATTGAAATTAGAATATTTAAAAGTTTGAAGGTCAATTTTAAAATGATTATAGTTTGGGGACATGTGAAGTAATTATTTCTATTTATTTATATTTAATGTAATTATGTCATATCATGCTGAATTAGATTTTTTTAGTTATATAATATTCTGTTCGAATAATTTAGTTATATAATATTAAATTTAATCAAACACGTTAAAAATATAGTATTTGAGATGCAGTATGTGTATGTAATAGTTCTTTTTATAATGAAATATGTGATTTTTAAAAATAATATATCAACTTTTAATTAGAATAATTTAAATTTAAAAAGTTATTTAATAAGTTCTCTTCCCTGTTGAGGATGTGTAGTATTCCAGAACAAGATCCATGTTAAGTAGTCTCGGCCTGCAGAACTACGAGAAGAATTTCAAGGGAGGCTTGTTAACAGATAGCACATTGCCGTTGCTCACCGACGGGCACGCAGTCGGATTTTATCTCGATTCAACTTTCAAATTAATAGTTTTTGAACTGTGTAGCCATGCTCTGGTTGCTTTTCAACCGACATGTTGTGTTTCAGTGCACTTAGAGATGTGAAAATACCACCTGGACCCCGACTCATTCTTTATCATAGCCAGAGGTTTGATTCTATCTTCCGAGTAGGATGATCTTACATTTCCCTTGACCACTAGCTACTTTCTCACCTTCTGGTCTACTATTTGTCTTTAGGGACCCAGAGCTTAAAGAGAAGCAAGGGCGACGACGGTGAGCTACTATCGCCGAGCCGTTTCACCGTCCAGGAACGGGAGTGGTTCGTATCTTCTCCAACGAAACGATTTCTCCTTTTTATTTCTTGCTGTTTAGAATTTTTCATTAAACAAGTTTACCTATGATTAAGTAGTTTCAATTCTTGTTATAAGATGCCATGTGCATGAGCTCGAGACACGAGTGCAGTAATTTTGATATATTTTTTTCGAGGTTGGATCTTAATTCTCATTTCTAGTTGTTATCCCTACCTAAACTATAAATCTATAATCACTTAGGTTGCGTTTGGTTTGTTGGAATGTTTTTGAGGGAATTGGAATCTGTCAGGAATTGGAATTCAATTCCATATTCTGTTTGGTTCGCAGACATGTCAGATGAATTTGATTTCAATAATGTAAAATAACATGATTGTCTTTCCTTTTTTTTTGCTTAATTTTAGTTTGTTTTATAAATTCATGTAGTAATATATTATAAAAATTTTAAAAAAATTAAATTTTAATTTGATTGATTGATTATTCATTTCAATAAATTATAAAAATCATGCTAATAAACATCATAAGTTAAAATCATCCCAATTAGTAATGGTTATGGGTCGGGTTGGGTCGGGTTTTTAGTTCACCCGATCCGACCCGAGAACAAGGGAACCTCCATCCGAGACTCGACCCGATCAAAATAAAGTTTCACCCGATCCGAATATATGAATTAGAAACCCGACCCGACCCGAAATAATAAAAAAATATTTTTATTCAATAAAAACAGTGACTTAATTGGAAAAAATATATATAGAGAGGGGTATTATTGTAATTATTCCTAAATATATAAAGTAAAATTATATATTTTTTGAGTCGGGTCGGGTATTTTTCACCCTAAACCCGACCCCGACCCGAATATCACACTTAAAAAAAATCGACCCGACCCGACCAAAATAAAGTTTCACCCGACCCGACCCGAATATATGAATTAGAAATCCGACCCGACCCGACCCGAAATAATACAAAAAATATTTTTATTCAATAAAAACAATGACTTAATTGAAAATATATATATATAAAGGGGTATTATTGTAATTATTCCTAAATATATAAGGTAAAATTATATATATTTTCGGGTCGGGTATTTTTCACCCTAAACCCGAACTAGACCCGACCCAAATATCACACTTAAAAAAACTGACCCGACCTGACCCGGATATATGAATTAGAAATCCGACCCGAAATAATAATAAAATATTTTTATTCAATATATGAATAAGTTATCAAAAGATTGATGATGGTAGTATGGTCAAATTTTAATTTCCTCCAACAAGGGAATTGAATTCCATCATAGAATGGATGGAATTCAATTTCCATCATTTGATGGAAAATTGAAGCCATGAGGTATTCCAATTCCCTTGGAAAACTTGAACCAAACATGGGAAAGTGGTGGAATTTGATTTCAATCCCCCCTAATTCCAAGGGATTCATGCCAACCAAACGCCACCTTAGTCTAATTATTAATTCCAACATTAAGATAACGTGTTAAAATTTTAAAAATATTATAGAAATATGAAAAATTATGAAACTATTAAAATGTTTAAATTATATGGATTTTAAAATATTTATAAATTTACTCTCGACAAATTGATTTGATTAATGAACTATTTAACTAAAAGATAAGTACAGTTTGAAGGTTTATGACTGAATTAAGGCTTTTAAATAAATAAATAAAAAGATGATAAAATTAGGATAAAGATGATCAAAGAAAGGAAACCTTGTCTAAGGTAGAAGTCTGAAACCCATTCCTTTATGAAACAATTATATATAATCAATCATTTTCATAACAATAATAGATTCGTTTTTTATACGCTATAATAATACTCGTACGACTAAGAACAATTTTTTTTATTTAGTTCCGTGGATGCTTTAGGAGATTAGTTCCGTTCGTTTCTCCATTGTCAAATCCTTTTGTAAAGTGTCATCCTTCTTTGCGTTTTACGCCATTGCCATTGGTCACGTCTCCTTTAGCTTTGACTGCAAATCTCGCGCACGCCAATGGTCAATCTTCTTCTCCTCTCAAACTAGTAAGTAAATTCTATTTTCTTATACCCTTTATTCTTCCCCTTAATCCCATTGTCCATATTAGGGATCCCTTTGCCCTTTTTGCAGATTTGCAGGTAAGTTTTTTTTTTCTTTCAAATTTATGGATCCTTGGATTTACCGCCTGGTTCATTATTGATTAATGGGTAATGTATGAATGGTTTTGATCATCAGTATTCGTTGGTGGGTCAGAGTTGAAATTTGAAAAGGAGGTTCCTTTCTCCGATTTCATTGTCGTCTATTAATCGCAGCTCTTTTTCTTGATACGTCGCAATACTTGCCTGTTTGTTTGGGGATGGACTGATTGCTTGCCATGGAAATGGATCGGGAATCTGGGAAATTGGAACAGATTGTTTCCCAATTTCGTTCCAAGATCTTGCACGTTATTTTGGACTCCAGGGTCCCTTCTCTTCACCGCCAACAGCAAGAATCGCTTTCTCTTTCTCGGGTGAGAAAGACCGACAAATGGTTCAATTTAGTTTTGGGAGATCGTCCCCCGGCTCTGGAGAATCTCAATTTCTCCCTTAGGAATCTCTTGGATCCTATGGTAATCGACATAATACTGATTCGCCATGGCTCTTGTTCCTCATCGGTGGATAACCTCTACGCTCCGTCGGCTGCAGCTGCTGGCCCTTCGACTGAGACTGTTATTGAAAGATGGGTTGTTCAATACGATTGCCCTCGGGTTTTTGCCACTCCTAGTGGTGCTGATGCTGCTGTTTTTTACAAGAAGATTTATAAGAAGTGCATCTTACTTTTGCGATCTCTTTACTCGCAAATGAGGCTTCTCCCTGCATATAGAATCTGTAGGCAGCTAAGTTTGTTGAGCCAAACGTATAATTTCGATCTTGTTTACAAGGTTTCATCGTTTAGTCATCCATTCTCTAGGGAAGAGGAGGATGGAATGAAAGAATATAGCTTTACTCCTGTTGAGGCTCTTCCAGGCTGCTTATGTGTGTCCGTGACCTACCGTGCAACTTTATCTGATTTCAACCTCGAACCTTTGGTGTCTTTGCCCCCAAAGATTATAACAGACTATGTTGGTAGCCCTACCACGGATCCTATGAGATCCTTTCCTTCCTCGAAGACGGGTGCTCATGCTACATCCTTCCCATCCACAGGACTGCGACCTCCATCTTCAGCTCCATTTCAACGCCCGCACAGCTGGTCTAGTGGCTTTCACCGAGGATTCCCTCCTACAAAAACTCAATCTCTTGCAGGATCTCCACCTGCATATTGTACATCTCGCAAGCCATATGATATTACATCTCCGCCTACTGATTTATACGGTAATAGAATTCAAAATCATAGAGTGTCAACTCTACAACAGGCTACTGCTTATGATGAGTATAAGCTATCACCCCCATTCTCAACATCTGCTTCCCCATCAACTCCAACATACTTATCTGGTGCTAATCCTTTGCTTACTCGTCATTGTTCTGAGACTGCCCCTGTAACCATTCCACTAACTGGCAGGAGTACTAGATATCTTTCTTCTAACTCATCTGATCCAAATAGGCATTCCCTTCCTCCTTTGTCTCCTAGAAGCTCAAAGCATGACGCCTCATCTCAAGAATCTCCATCTGGGATTCGATCGTACAGGAAAATAGAAGGTCTACGGGCCGGAGAGTCTCCTTCTGGCTTGTCAAATCTTTATTCCGCACCAAAGGTATAGCCTTAAATTTTTGTTCCCTGCTACTTGAAAGTTTTACCCTTCTAGAGAACATTGTATCTTTTCTTGTGCTGATTAGTACAGTACTAATTTGCTTCTCAGGTGGTTAGAGATAGTAAAGATGACTCAGGTCGATTCTCGGGATTGCTATCTTCTAGTGGCTCACCACGTATTGGTTTCTCTAGAAGCTCTAGTAGATTATCTTTCCAGGATGACATAGATGATTGTGAATTCTCTTGCCCTTTCGATGTTGATGATGTCGATGTATCTGATTCATCTAGGTACATACATCTCAAATATATCTGTTTCTAGTCATAGATGCTATTAAAGGGTAAAATTTTTAGATGCTTATGTTGCGGGTTTTCATCTTTGTTCCTAAGCCTGATAATGTTATATTGGTAAAGCTAAAGGTTTCATTTTTAAAGCATGGTTAAGGCAAGTAAACGTGCTTAAAACAAGAAGAAGATGACCTATATAGCCCATAGGTCATTTATGTCATTAGAAAGAAGATGCCAAGGAGAACACTGACAACATGACAGTTTCTCTTCTTACTGATCGAAATCGATTCATCATGTGACTTTTTCTGTTGTTAGAATTTGATGTAAGATGTGATCTTTCTCTTTTGGCTTAATATTTTGTGTGCTTCTTTCTGTGCCTGCAATGGGTGTTTACAGTCGGAACACAGAGAGCAAAAGAGCTTCAGAATTCACTGCACAGTCAAATCTGGTTGGTAAGAAATCACAAGATGCTGCTGTTGGCATTCTCGTTCACATGCTCAGAACGGCACCACCTCTCCGGCAAGACTCGAGTTGTTATTCGACTCATTCGTTAAAGACTGAATACGATGGAGGTGCTGGTGTCGCTTCTGGGTTTTTTCTGCCGCGTAAAACAGCAGATGCGCTCGAGGAGCTCAACAGCTACAGAGAAATGAAGGATCTACTACTATCAAAGAGTGCAACTCAGGCTGTTCGGAAAGAGGGAAAGAAGTAGCTCTGGATTGAAGATATGATCTCATACGGCTGGCAACTGGTGCTGAATACAACAGCCGCTAATGCATCATTTTAGCTTAAAATTACGCATTATGTATATAATTTAAATAGTTGCTACAATGGAGTTGGTCATTAGAACACAAATTGACTCGTAAATTTGTCAACTTTGTCAAAATTTATTTCTCCATTTTCTTTTATCCTCTTTTCTTGGTACTTTGAAGTAATTGAATTCATGTTCAAAATCTAAAATTTTATCAAAGTTTAAGCTGACATAGTCTTATATTTTCCAACGATAAGAAAATAAGTTAAAAATGGAAAACGATATGAACATATATAAGAAATACGGTTGTCCTAAATAATGTCGTGGTTCACTTAGAAAGCATGTTGCAGTATGGAATCTAAATATTTTTAATAATAAAATAGGTTGCGCCTAAAATGTTATCAGAGTATAAGCTGATGAAGCCTTCGATTGGATTTTCTGACGATAAGAAAATAAGTTAAAACTGAAAATGTTGTGAATATATATAAGAATGTGATTGCACCCGATAATATCATGATTTAATAAGAAATAGGTTGCGATCTATAATGTTAATATTTTTATTAATAAAATTAATTGCAATCTTATCAAACTACATCTTGTCGAGACTTCATACATTTATTAAAAAACAAAAAAAAAATGTATCGTTCTAGACAACCTTTATAAAAGAAAGTTACAAATTCAACTAGTTATTCATTCTTGAAATTATAAGGAATATCTTATTTTCATGTGAACTCCTTCATGCATTATATATTTCTTTATGGTTTTTCTTTATGTTTTTCTAGCAATTTTACATAAAGTTCTTTCTCCTCTTCGATCATCAAATTTCATTTCACGGACGCTTCTTTTCTCACATGCATTCAACGTTTCTTTATCAATATGTTTATAATACATCTCTATAACCTTCTCAATTCAATTTACATACATAACCAACATTTTTATTCTCATCTCCCTTAAACCGTTGACATTCACTCACTATAAACATTTCAAATTTGTCATCAATATAAACTTCTTGAATACTTTTAATCAATAACCATCATTCAAACAAGCATGAGACAGATTCATGATTACTTACTAAAAGTGCATATATAGGGCCATTAATTGCTTAGGTCTTCCTTCTGTCTCGTTAATCTCTTGATCCTCGAAGTCATCTTCACAAAGAATAATTAGCATGTCATTCATATTTTTCTTTCACGTTTTTTTGTTCCCGTGATGTCTTCTTCTTCTTTCTTTTCATTCATAACAAATATAGATTTGAGCAATATATGTTGTAATAAACAATTATATAAATGTAAATGTAACTACTTTTGATAACCGATTATAGTCCTAACTGATTATTATAGTAATCTATTATGTATAACCTATAATGTTATTTACAACCTATAATGTTACATTCTACTTGTTTTACTAACCTCAATTATTTTTCATTCATTCAATCTATACAATTATCGGTCTATTATATTACATCTTTTCCCTAAAAATTAAACCCTAATCCCTAAATTCAAATTCGTTATTTGAAATTACAAATTAGGATTTAACGAGCATGCCTTTCTATTCTTCAAATTGTGATTTCAATTATGTTCTTCAGTATTGATGTTTATTGATGAGATTGAAAACGGATTCCAAAGACAAAAACTCCTTATCCTTCTCTGATTCTGACATTTCTCTTCCCTAAACCGATTATGTTATCTATAAATACTCGATATTTTCCCTATTTATTGATATATGTGAAATTTTTTATACTTTTACGGCCTTCTCGTTTTTCTTCTTTTTTAAAATTAAAAAATATGAATCTTTGGAGAAAAAGTATCGATGTAACCGGTTTACAACACAAAATATTCTATGTAGAAACTAGAAAAGTTATCCAGTTATATAACATAGGTTGAAATTTAAAATGTTACCCTTCTAACGGTCACAAAATAATTTATAACCCGTCAATGTTATTACTATAATTAACATTTTAGGTTACGCCTTAAAATGTTATCAGATTTTAAGTTGAAGTTGCCTTATTCATTCACACGGCAACAAATTAAGTTGGTTGCTATCTGAAAAGTAGGTTATGATATGAAATGTTATAAATTTCAAAAATATCGATATTATTAAAAAAAAGTATCGATACTTCCCGACAACATAAATTATCCGATTAAATCATTTTAAGTTATTTTAAAATACTTACAACCCAATATATTACATTTAATTCAACATTTCCAATAATATTAAATCTATTTTGTTAATTTATTTTTTAAGACTTCGATTGTATCATTTTTTAACCTTTTATTAGTAATTCTTTCTTTAGAATTTTCCATATGCAGATAGTTCTTCCCTACTCGAGCTTCAAGGAATAATCCATCATTGTCCACTTGTCAGGAACCATTTTTTTTTCTCCAAACAATCACAGCTTCTTTACCTTGGGTCGTGGGATCGTGTTCTATGGAGGACATTTTATAATTCGGAAGTCTCTTACGGAAGCTGCTCTCAATCTAGTGTTAAAGACAACCTACTATCTTACCTCTCCCATTACATATGGGAATAAGGGTCAGCTAAAAAAAATCACAGCTTCTTTAAGCGAAACAAATTATTCGAACCTGGATGTTGAATTTGCCATAGAAATTTTAGGAATAATTTGTACATCGATCCTTGGTTTTCTATATTTTTATGAATTTGTTTATGGGATGGGTACGTGGTTTTGATACGATGAATTTCGATAAAATAGTATAATCATGTATTATATATTTAAAAATAATTATAATAATATTTTTTTTTATATTTTCAATTAAATTCATTTTTATCTTGTAAAAATAAAAATTATATATAAATATACATAGGGTTATAATCCATTCACATTGTATAAAACTCTTTCAGTTTTACCCTTTTTTAGATCGTTAGATTCAAAGAAATCAAAAGTTAAGATTAACTCCTTATTTTTTTCCCGAATGAACATCTTTTCATGTCAAATAGTTCTAAAAAGATATAAAACTAAAAGGTGACGTTTGGTTCGCTGGAATGTTTATGAGATAATTGGAATTTGTGAAGGAATTGAAATATGTCAAGAATTGGAATCTAATTCCATATTCTGTTTGGTTGGCAGGAAATAGAATTGGAATCCAATTCCATATTATGTTTGGTTCGCAGACATGTCAGATGAATTTGATTTCAATAATATAAAATGACATAATTACCCTTCTTGTTTTTTACTTTATTTTAGTTTGTTTTACAACTTACATGTAGTAATATATTATAAAAAATTAAAAAATATTAAATTTTCATTTTATTGATTGATTATTCATTTCAATAAATTATAAAAATCATACTAATAAACATCATAAGTTAAAATCATCGCAATCAAAATATGTTAATAAGTTACCAAAGATAGAGCAATATTTCGATACATTCCAATCGGAGCATGTTAATTAGTTACCAAAAACTATTTTTATTCAATATATGAATTAGAAACCCGACCCGACAGGACACAAAATAATAAAAAAAATTATTTTTATTCAATAAAAACATTGACTTAATTGAAAAAATTATATATAGAGGGGTATTATTGTAATTATTCCTAAATATATAAGGTAAAATTATATATTTTTTCGGGTCGGTCCGGTTTTTTTCACCCTAAACCCGAACCCGACCCGACCCAAATATCACACTTAAAAAAACCCGACCCGACTCGACCCGAATATTACACTTAAAAAACCCGACCCGAACAAAATAAAGTTTCACCCGACCCGAATATATGAATTAGAAATCCGACCCGACCCGAAATAATAAAAAAAATTTATTCAATAAAAATAGTGACTTAATTGAAAAAAATTATATATAGAGGGGTATTATTGTAATTATTCCTAAATATATAAGGTAAAATTATATATATTTTCGGATCGGGTATTTTCACCCTAAACCCGAACTCAACCCGACCCGGATATCACGCTTAAAAAAACCGACCCGACCCGACCCGAATATATGAATTAGAAACCCGACCCGACCCGAAATAATAAAAAAAAAATTATTCAATATATGAATAAGTTACCAAAAGATTGATGAGGGTAGTATGGTCAAATTTTAATTCCCTCCAACAAGGGAATTGAATTCCATCATAGAATAGATGAAATTCACTTTCCCTCATTTTATGAAAAGTTGAAGCCATCAGGGATTCTAATTCCCTTGGAAAACTTGAACCAAACATGAGAAAGTAGTGAAATTGGATTTCAATTCTCCCCAATTCCAAGGAATTCCATCCAACCAAACGCAAGAGTTTTACGGAAGGTAATTAGATCTTGCCCCATATGTATGTATGTATGTATGTATGTATGTATGTATGTATGTATGTATGTATGTATGTATGTATGTATGTATGTATGTATGTATGTATGTATGTATGTATGTATGTATGTATGTATGTATGTATGTATGTATGTATGTATGTATGTATGTATGTATGTATGTATGTATGTATGTATGTATGTATGTATGTATGTATGTATGTATGTATGTATGTATGTATGTATGTATGTATGTATGTATGTATGTATGTATGTATGTATGTATGTATGTATGTATGTATGTATGTATGTATGTATGTATGTATGTATGTATGTATGTATGTATGTATGTATGTATGTATGTATGTATGTATGTATGTATGTATGTATGTATGTATGTATGTATGTATGTATGTATGTATGTATGTATGTATGTATGTATGTATGTATGTATGTATGTATGTATGTATGTATGTATGTATGTATGTATGTATGTATGTATGTATGTATGTATGTATGTATGTATGTATGTATGTATGTATGTATGTATGTATGTATGTATGTATGTATGTATGTATGTATGTATGTATGTATGTATGTATGTATGTATGTATGTATGTATGTATGTATGTATGTATATGTATGTATGTATGTATGTATGTATGTATGTATGTATGTATATGTATGTATGTATGTATGTATGTATGTATGTATGTATGTATGTATGTATGTATAAAATCATTAATCGTAAGCTTTTATCCTAAAAATAGAGTATAGTTTTTAATCGAATAAAATCTCTCTAAATTCAGATCAGGTTGAATGACGTGTAAAAGTTCATATTTA